TACAATGACACTACTTATTTTACAAAACGTTTTACGAGGTATAAACAAAGAAGTATTAAAAAGTGAAAAACTACTAAAAAGCACTGAATCTATTTTTACTTTACGCATAATATTTAGATGTCAATGAGCATGTCCAAGATAATATGCAATCATCTTTAAAAGTTTAAAAGATACGTACATTAAGTATTAAATTTACGCACATATCGCGAGATTTCGATATATCGTTAAAAAGGAAATGAAGATAATAGAAAAAAAATATTAGAATTAAAATTTTTTAAAATTGTATTAATTCAATTTAAAAAATCTCATTTAAAAAATCAAATGAATTTTGAAATATTTTTTTTTTTTTTAAATAAAAATATTAAATATACAAAAAATAATTTTACAAAGTCAATTTTATTTCCTAAATTTATTTTATTTTTAAATAGCTTTTATTTTTTAATTTACATAAATTACAATACAATTACAGATGATTAAAAATTATAAATACACATTGCATTTAAAAAATATTTAAATAATAACTCTTAACACAAACTTTTTGTAGAGCAAAATTTATTGAGCACTTTTTTGTACATGATAGTTATATTTTTTAAAAAGTAAAAGATAATTTTTTATAACTTTTTAATATTTCACACTTTAATTTTAAAAACATAATCATATGTGAAAATGTATATCCAATTATTGCACCAAAAGAGCATGGAATAGGCCAAATTTGCCAAGGACGATCCCAATCTAAAGGTATGACGAATGCTCCAAGCCATGCTCCTAATACAGTCAGGTAAATATTCTGATAATGTAGCTCTTCTAATTTATTGTGAGGTTTACTTCCCAAAATGAGAGCCCAAACACTATTATGGCTTAATGTAATACAAGGTGGATAAATTGTAAGTGTTGTTAATATTAAACTAAACATAAATGTTTCTTCATATTTGCTGAAAACTTCTGCACCATATAATATTGCAACAATAAAGTACACTGATAATGATATAAATAAAACTACAGCATTCTTTAAAAAATCTTTGAATTTTTTTTGATTAAAAACGAGGGAAATAAATGAATTTTCTGAATACCTTTTACTGACATTGGGTTTATTACTTTTGATATATTTGTCACCACAACTTATTTTTACTAGTTCTATGCCCGCAATCAACAAAACAACAATACTGAACTTGAAACTTCCTGCAGAGTATATAAAATTCGTTGTTATTAAAATAAATATTAACGTACAAAAATATAAAAAGGTAAAAACAGAATAAAATGTTAATAATTTTTTAAATTTATTTTCATCTAGGTTAGAATACATGTCGGCTGAATATAGCTAAAACGTTTTAAAAAATCTTTTGATTATAGCACACAACGAACAGCTTAAACTGTCCAATCAATATTTTATTTTAGAAGCTTCAATTATTAAATAATCAATTGTCCATATAATTTTTAAACTGAAAACAAACATTATTTAGAATTAATAAGAGTCAAAATTTTCTATTTACACGACTTAATTTTTTGGTTTTAGGTGGTTTTCCATTAACAAAATTCTAGGAAGGTTGAGCCTCTTCAGTTTTTTTATTATATTCTTTTAAAAAAAATGGGGGGAAAACATAAGCAAGCAAACAGAGTAAAAAATAACGCAAGGGTAAAACATATTAATTTGTTTTATTTTTTTATTACTTTAACTATGAAGTCAAATATAATACCGAAGTGTTAGGATTTATTATAGTTATTATAGATCACTTTTAAAAAAAAATGTGTTAAATTCTGTCTGGTTAAAACCAAGCATAATCAACTAGTAATGTCAAAAAACTATATTGAAATTTTAATAGTTACAACATTTAGGATATTGTTGTTAAAATGTTTATTTATGACATAGTGTTATTTTATTATTTTTTCTTTAAATTTTCGAAATGTTTTTTTAGCCTTCAAGTAGCAGTCATAGTACGCAATTGCTTGGTGACACAATTCCTACATTTTTTGGATTTTCATCTGCAAAAAATAATATATCCACAGTCCCTGGTTTTCAAACTGATGATGCAATCATTTGTATCAACTCAGATTTTCAAATTTTATTCAAACAAATGAGTAAAAAAGATCCTACAACCAGATTCAAAGCACTGCAACTTTTTACCGATTTAGTTAACAATGTAGATGTTGATGAACTTAAAACAATTTTGCCATTATGGGCTAGGACATATTGTTTGTTAAGCACAGATGTTGATCACAAAGTAAGAGAAATAACTCATAAAGCTCATAAGGCAATTGTGTCAAAAGTAAAAAAAATGATAGCACCTTATCTCAAAGAATTAGCAGGTAT